CCCCCCAGCCTCACTCCCATAATCTATAGGTTGCTGCCCCACCAAAAAAAAAAAAAATCAAACCCCCCACCCCATCCCCACTTACCTGATCTGCAGGCTGTCTCTGGCTGCATGTGTTGTTCCCCTGCGGTTTCCATCAGCAGAGAGTTGCAGGGATAAGATGCAGCTTCCCATCCCTGTCTTTCCATACACAGCGCCACCTACTGGCCGGCGCCGATATTGCAGTTCATTTTAAATTTCACACGAAAAATATCAGAACAAGCTGAAAAATCCAGGGGGGGCAAGTGCCCCCCCTTGCGGACGCCCATGCTCATGGAGTCTGTTTCTGACCGTTTGAGCAGACTTATGCACATTTGTGACTTGCTGGAGGTCATTTTGCAGAGCTCTGGCAGTGCTCCTCCTGTTCCTCCTTGCACAAAGGCAGAGGTAGCGGTCCTGCTGCTGGGTTGTTGCCCTCCTATGGCCTCCTCCACGTCTCCTGATGTACTGGCCTGTCTCCTGGTAGCGCCTCCAGGCTCTGGACACTATGCTGACAGACACAGCAAACCTTCTTGCCACAGCTCGCATTGATGTGCCATCCTGGATGAGCTGCCCTACCTGAGCCACTTGTATGGTTTGTAGACTCCATCTTAGGCTACCACTAAAGTCAAAGCACCGCCAGCATTCAAAAGTGACAAAAACCATCAGCCAGGAAGCATAGGAACTGAGAAGTGGTCTGTGGTCACCACCTGCAGAACCACTCCTTTATTGGGGGTGTCTTGCTAATTGCCTATAATTTCCACCTATTGTCTATCCCAATTGCACAACAGCATGTGAAATTGATTGTCACTCAGTGTTGCTTCCTAAGTGGACAGTTTGATTTCACAGAAGTGTGATTGACTTGGAGTTACATTGTGTTGTTTAAGTGTTCCCTTTATTTTTTTGAGTAGTGTATATTTAAACCTCAATTTACATATACAAAAGAAAATCACTGTGTGGCTTGCAGTAGCCAGCATAATATTACAAACAACAAACAAAAAAAGGTGTGGACCTTATAACAACACAGACCTATTGTTAATCTAACAATACAGCTGAATTACTTCCAAGTATATTATCAATTATGCAAAGTTCCAGATATTTTATGTGACGTACTTGTAGCTCCTATTTTTGGACGTTTACACATAGACATTATGGGAGAAACTTGCTCTTTCCTTGTCTTGGCAATATTTAGTTTTACAGTTATATGTATCTTTTTACATGGAATAACTCTTGGCAGCATATCAAAGAAGAAAACTTGTGGTTTCATTGATAAGATTATTCCTGTGATTCTATAAATTAGATTTTGTCACATTAATCGACAGGCCTGCTGCCTCTAACATGTCCACCAGATATTTAGCATTGATCTAGAACTGCCACATCTCCAGCAAATGTCTGAAGAACTGGGCAACATCTTTGCCTGCTTCTGAAGGACCACATACTATTATATTAACACTTTCCTGCTTTTTAT